CAATCTTGGTTTGCAGCTAGCGATAGAAGTATTCTCACAGTGTTGAGCTTGGCTACCGGTGCGAACGTCTCTTGATAATCTACACCATAAGACTGAGTGTAAACTTTAGCCATAAGTCTTGTTTTATACCTCTCAATAGTTCCATTAGCTTTATACTTAATTGTAAAGACCCATTTGCAGCCCACTGTTTTCTTCCCTCTTGGTAAGGACACAAGATCCCAAGTGTTGTTTTTTTTTAAAACTGTCATCTCCTCAACCATTGCTTTGGTCCATCTAGGATCTGCCAAAGCTTCCTATATATTACTAGGAATAGAATTTGAAGATAATTGAGATACAAATTATGCATGTGACTGAGATAACCTGTGAGATGACACATATTTACTAATGGGATATTTAACTTTGGCTTGGAGGTCTGGTTCATATTTAGCTAGAGGTTGACCATGGTTAGAACGAGGTTGAAGAATATATTGAACAGTATTAGACTCAGTGTTTGGTCTGCTGGTGGTCTCACGCAGACACGAATCAATTCCATGATCAATTTCATCTAAATTAGTGTTATCAGAGATAGGATCAGAAGGTACCTCTGAAGAGTCAATTTGAACCTATGGAGAAGATTGAGCCAATTGGTTATGATCAGAAGACATTGTATTATCCAAAAGAGAAGTGTTCATATTTAAGATTGGCTCACTTCCTGTAGAATGATTCTCACATGATAATTTATCTTCACAATATAATTTGATATCTGAGATATCAAACATACTAACATCATGATTATGCACTTCACTTTCATTGCCTCCCTGAAGTGGAGAATCAACATAAAAAAATTCATGTTTATTAAAAGTCACATCTATAGAAATATTAAAATTTCTTTGATGGTGGATGGTAAGCATGATAACCTTTTTGAGTTGATCCATACCCAACAAAAACACATTTGAACGCTCGTTCTTCAAGCTTTGTACGTTGATGTGGGTGTAAGTGAACATATATAACACATCCAAAAATATGAGGTGGTAAATAAACTATGGGAGGAAGGATACAATGATCAGACAACACATCAAAAGGCCTTCGAAAGTTAAGCACACTAGAAGGGATTCGATTAATTAAATAAACGGCAGAGCTCACAGCCTCACCCCATAAATGAGATGGGACATTACCATCTATCAAAAGTGATCTTGTCACCTCTAATATATGTCTATTTTTCCTCTCAGCCACTTCATTTTGTTGTGGTGGATAAGGACATGTAGTTTGATGCAAGATGCCTTTAGAGTTCATGAACTCTATTAATTTAGTCTTAAAATATTTCCTTCCATTGTCTGATCGAATAACCTTAATAGATGTGTTAAAGTGTGTAACGATTAGATGATAGAAGGAACGAACCACATCACTTTTATGTTTAAGCAAATATACTCAGGTTACCCGAGTACAATCATCAACAAAACTAATAAACCATTTTTTCCATTATGTGTAGATTGTGGGACAAGGCCCCAAACATATGTGTGAATTAATGAAAAGGAAAATCAGTTTTGTTATTGCTTAAAGGAAACACAACATGATGATTTTTTTCCATAACACATGTTTCACAAAAATAATCAGAAATATTGCATTTATGAAATAGTGATGGAAATAATTTTTTTAAATAACCAAAAGAGGGATGTCTTAACCATTTATGCCATAACCAAATTTTCTTTTTGCTTTTATCTTGTATGTGATCATTCGCAAGACAAGCCAACCCTCTTTTATGGATTTATTGAGACATTTTCAAAATAATACAATCCTTCACTCTTTCTACCACCGGCAATCTTCTTCTCGGAATGAATGTTCTGAAAAAGACAATGGGTTGGGTAAAACAAGGCAACACAAGAATGTGATTTGGTTAACTTGCTGACGGAGATAAGATTAAGATTACAGTTTAATGTGGGAATAAATAAAACATCAGAAATATAACTCTTGGAAGCCGCAGAAGTTCCAGAATCATGTTTCTCCCATTGATTTTTATCGAAAGAAGCCATCAGAAATATTCAATGAAAAAAAAAGAAGCATTGATTCCTATATTGTAGAGGATATCGGTGTTTGACTCTTGATACCATAATAAAAGATTTAAAAATAATTCTGATGTATTATTTCAAAGAGTAAAGTACCAAATATATATACATACAATGATCCTATAATTCTTTATCTATTAAAGAAATGTCAAGTGCACAAATCTGCACAAATTGTAATAATTTTAAATTATAACTAACACTATATTTGATTGCCTAATATCCACTAATAGAATATTTTACGTATTTTAACAAAAAGAAAGTAATATCAAATAAATATAAAAAATTTATATATCAAATTAAATATTTTTTAGTATCATCAATGATTGTAAGAGAGATATTAACTTTACAGGCACAAAATATGAAAAATGCAAAACCATGGCTACCAAATACTCTTTTAACTTGTAGAGAACTTGATATGGATGTCTCCTGGTAGATGAGCCTCTGGTTAAACGGGTGACAGTGTAATCATAAGTTATTATGAAAACGTGTATTCAATTTATTTTATGCCAATGCATCATTCCATTTATAAAGGACAACACACTTGGCTCCATGAACTCACATACTCACTCAAACCCAAATCTATTTGCTTAATTTCTCCTCTGTTATCTCATAATTCCCATGGCCTCATCATCATCTTCTTCTTCTCTTAACTTTACAGTGCGAAGGTGCCAACCCCAGCTGCTGCCTCCTGCTATCCCCACTCCTCATGAATTTAAACCACTTTCCGACGTTGATGATCAAGAAGCCCTGCGTTTCCACGTTCCAATGATACAAATTTATCCAAAGCAAGCATCAATGGCAGAAAAAGACCCAGTTCAAGCGATTCGCCAAGCACTCTCGCAGACACTTGTCTTCTATTACCCATTTGCGGGTAGGCTTAGAGAGGGGCCTACCCGCAAATTGATGGTGGATTGCACTGGAGAAGGTGCCATGTTCATTGAGGCCGACGCTGACGTCACACTTGATCAGTTTGGCGAGTCTCTTTACCCTCCATTCCCATGCTTCCATGAACTTCTATATATACAATGTCCCTGCCACACAACAAATTACCAACACTCCCCTTATACTTGTACAGGTTCACTAAACTTACTCATCAATCTCAAGATATTTTTTATTCATTTTCTAGATTTCTAAATTTTAAAAACTGATTTCTGATATAATTAATTTCTGTCAAAATCCACTAAGATTAGAATTGGTAGTGTTACAGATTCTGATAGAGAGAACGGGCTGGTTCGTTCTTCTGTAAATTTTTTTTTCCTTGATATGCTCTGATAGCCTATTACAAAGTGGGGTGTGTATAACACTCACAATAATTTAACAAAGGATGTGAGATATTCAACAGAAATTTCACAAATAGCTTGTTTCTTGCTCCAATTCTTGATCGAGTTAACTTTATAAAAAGTTTAGCGGAAGCAAAAATGTGTGAACTTGTTGAATATGGAATAAAAATGCAGGTGACACGGCTCAAGTGTGGTGGTTTCATCTTAGCCATCGGCCTCAACCACACCATGTGCGATGGACCCGGTTACGAACAATTCATGAGCGCTTGGGCGGAAATGGCTAGAGGTGCAACCAAACCTTCCATTGCACCAGTGTGGCGAGAGACCCACCTCGCATTACATGCAACCATCGCGAATTCGAGCAAGTCCAAGATACCCTTCCTTCTTCCAACCAAAACATGGTTCAACGATCATTCTTCTTTGGACCACTCGAAATAGCTGCACTTCGGCGCTTGATTCCCTAACACCTTCAGCACTGCACCACATTTGATCTCATCACAGCATGCCTCTGGCGCTGTCGCACAAAAGCACTGCAGATAGAGGCAGACGAGGATGTTCGCATGATGTGCATAGTCAACGCACGTGGTCGGCTCAATCCACCACTTCCTGTTGGTTACTACGGCAACTGTTTTGCATATCCGGCGGCAGTAACGACTGCAGGGAAGCTATGCAGAAACCCATTTGGTTATGCGGTGGAATTGATAAATAAAGTGAAAGGTGAGATGACAGAAGAGTACCTGCAATCTGTTGCAGACCTTCTGGTGATGAAGGGACGATGCTTATTCACAACTGTGAGGTCTTGTATTGTGTCATATTTGGCACGTTTGAACCTTAGAGAAGTGGATTTTGGTTGGGGTGAGGCTGTGTACGGTGGAGTGGCCGAAGCTGGGGCTGGGAGCTTCTTAGGAGCTTCGTATTTCTGTTCTGCTAAGAACGGAAAAGGAGAAGGCATAATATTTCCGATTTGGTTACCTGCTGAAGCTATGAAAGGTTTGCTGAAGACTTTTATAATGTCTACCCTCTAATAATCTGTATTTCATGGAATAATTTAGCAGATTCTGGAGACAGATATATATTGTGTGATATCATAATGTATTCTGAAGGACATAGACTAGTGTGTTGTGATAAAGATCAATGATATTTCTTCGGCACTGCTAGGTTAAGTACTAGGTAACGTGCTGAATGACAAAATCTAAGAAAGCATATGATGTTAATTTATAGAAAAAGAGTTGTTCTAATTTCTAAAATGGAATATATTATCGGTGTGATTTTCTAGTGGTCATATCCTAGTTTGTTACAGTTTGAGTTGTCCATTTACCTAACCTTGTGGTCACATCATTCAGTTTTTCTAAAAGTTAAAATTTCTTATACATTTTTGTTTTAATTTTCAATATATTAGTTAACTTTTTTTGGGGTGTGAACTTAAAACCAGATCCAAAGTAAGTTCTTCCTCGTCACATGTTTAACCTTATAAATATAAGAAACAAAATGTTATAAATAAATAACATTAATTAATATGGTTGAAAATTCAAACGCGAATTAAGTATTATAATAAATAAAATTGAGAAAGTATAAGAAATAAAATTTATAAACTTATCTTAATATTTTAGGTTAAACTTATATGTAAATTGACTTTAGATCATATTTATGTAATTTCTCTCATGAAGCTTTCGTTCATTTAGATAATTGACTTAGATCGCTGTATTAAAATAACAACACCGATAAGATTGTGGAGAAACCAAGTTTCAGTAATCTTAATTAAAAAGATATTATGGTTAGTTGATATTTTTTATTTTAATATTTTTTAAGATTTTTATTTGAACAAAGGTTTTAATCACCAAACAAATGGAAGCTCTGTCACACATGAAGTGGTTGAAGCAGAAGGCCAAGATGAAACCACCGCACCTAAGGCGTGTCACCTGTGATTTCATCAGATCATTTCCGACATCAACAAACTATAGACACAAATAAATAGTTAGGAAGAACTCACATCAAAATTGGAATATCTGTACGAGTAGAAGGGGAGTGTTGGTAATTTGCTGTGAGGCAGGAACATGGTATAGCAGTTCATGGAAGCATGGGAATGGAGGTTGGAGAGAATCGCCGAACTTGTCGAGTGTGACGTCAGCATCGGCCTCAACGAACATGGCACCATCTCCGGTGCAATCCACCATCAATTTGCGGTGAGGGCCCTCCCTAAGCCTACCCGCAAATGGGTAATAGAAGACAAGTGTCTGGGAGAGTGCTTGGCGAATGAGTTGAACTGGGTCTTTCTCTGCCATTGATGCTTGCTTTGGATAAATTTGTATGAAGGGAAGGTGGAAACGCAGGGCTTCTTGATCATCAATGTCGGAAAGTGGCTTAACTTCATGAAGAGTGGGGATAGCAGGAACTACCAGCTGGGGTTCGCACCTTCGTACTGTAAACTTTAGAGAAAAAGATGATGAGGCCATTTATGTGAGTATTTATTAAGAGAGAGAGAGCGAGTTACTTGGCTGTGTTCTTTTTAATTGATTTGAGGGAGATGATTTGGGGGAGATGATTTGGGGGAGATGATTTGAGTGGATTTGAGTGGATTTGAGGGTAATTTTTTTGTTGTTTTTTTGAGTGGATTTGAGGTTAATTGAGAGTGGATTTGGAAGGAAAGTTTGTTAGAATTAGTGTAGGATTTGATTGATGTGATTGATTTTAAAAATTAGTTTAATTGGTAGAAATTTTAGATTACCAAATTGCCCTTCTTATAAAAGTTTTATAAAATTTTATTTTGTAATGTTATATTTAATTGTAAAAAAGTTTATAAAGAGAAAAAAAATTATTAATAATTGTTAAAAATATTGTTTAAAAATTATAAAAGTTATAATGTAGTAAAATAAATATATTTTAAAATGTTTAGGAAAATTTTAACATAATTTAAGATTTCAAAGTCACATACAAACCAAAATAAAGACATTCAAGTCATGAAATATATTATCGGAAATAAAATGAACTTAATCATCTAAATGGTGAAGAATGGAGTTCACATTTTGATTCAGGTTAGCAAATTGGCGGTTCATGTCTAGGGAAAGGTTTGCCAAGTTATCTTCAATACGTTGTACCCGCACCTGCATTTGTTCCATACCCTGCATCCTATGTCTCAAGTCTTGTACTCCTTCCCACATTTGAGTTATCATGTTTGCATTTGATAGAGGTGGAGGAGGCTGCACTGTGTTTTGATGAGGGTTTTTTTGGTCTTCTTCTTCATCATCATCCAGATCGTGTTGCCAAACACCGTTGACATTAATAATTTTCATCCTCTTCAAAGAATTGATAGAAAAGTGATGTCGGGACCCTATATGAGTGCTGGCATCGGCATCGACGTGAACTCCACAATATTCCATGATCTGTGTGATAAGGACACCGTATGGGAGGGGTGTGTCACTGGCCTTGCATTTAAGCATATGCTGCATGATGTGATGAGGCCAATTGATTGCTATATTATTTTTAAGCACCCATATCATAAAAATATCTTCATGCAATAACCTAGCAAAATTCCCTGGTCTTGGAGTCAACATATGCACAATAATATAATGCAGAAGCCTATCATTGATATTCAAACAACCAACCGTTAAAACACCTTGACCACCCTGCAAATCTGGTATGATCATAGTTGTTAATGCCATGTCGCGATCATATGGAAAGTCCTGTGGGAGATTTGAATAACACAATTTCTGACCGTCGTACTTCAAGTTGGCTACATTCAATCAATCAGCAGGTTTGAATCTAATTTTTCTCTTGTTGACCTCACTGAGCATATATCCATTTGATGATATCTTCAAATTTGAATAAAATACCTTGATTAAATCCGGATAGTAGGGTCCCTGTAATGTAAGAAATTGGCTCAACCCTTGAAATAGAAGATGCTGCTGGAAAAATAACCCTGAACCGGTAAATGAATCAAAATTCATTATCTTGGGAGGAACTATAGTCCTTGTACAGAAATCAGCTGCATAGTTTTCCATTTGATGACTGTGTGTGAAAAAACGACGCTGATCTAATTGCTCCTCTACAGATGGTCTTACAATGGGTGCATCTTCTGCCTCAGTGAGAGTTTCTTTTCCCTTACGTGTTTTTCTTGCCCTTTTTGTTGATGATGAGGCCATCTGATAATTTCTTCAACAAATCAATTCATTAAAATAAGAACAAAGTACATCATAACATATTACGTATATTTCATAATAACAGTGCATAACATTAAACATAAGAACAAATGTCATACTATGGTCACCTACAACAGAACTACAAAATGACATCGACCACACAAATATAATAATTCATAAATAAATTACTGATACACAATTTCATTTAATACTAATAGAAGTAAGTCTGATATGAAGATTCCTAACAGTCACCGCCCGATATCATTTTTAATAATTTATTCCACCGCTTATGTGGTGGCAGTCCCATCAACCTCTTTGTACATGTGGGGTTTCCACATAAGAAATCATAACATTGGTCCAGGAAATTCTCGTCAGCAATGTTCATAGAAGTCAACATTTCATAAATGTCTGCCTCTGTATATGTGTAAGTCGGGTTGCGACGGAGTATTTGATTTCTTTCTTCCATTGCTGACACTTGACGCACGGCTGCATCAGAGATCACACCAAAATGAACATTTGATGAGCTTAAGACATTTGCAAACCCATCCAGACTAGTCGTCAACTTATCAAATTGAGAATCAATAGAATCGACCATGGGTGCCTTCCTTTTCGAGCCTCGTGAGGAAGAAGTCCCACCAGATGGGACGGAAGGCACAGATTGAGTCTGGCCCGGACTATATTCATCAACAGATGGTGGAGGCGATGGTGGAGTTGGGTCTCTGTATCCTGTCCACTGAGACTGTTCTGGAATGTACTCCACATTTTGATTCAAATCAACAGTTACATGAGGACCAACACGTTGTCTTCGAGCTTGACGAGCAGTTCGAACACCACTCCCAGTAGCTCGATCAGCTGCCCATAACTCCACCATTAAATCATAATGTTTTATACTGTTAACCCTCCACTTCGCCGCAGCTGGCCGCGACTGCAACAACAAAGACAATAAACACACTGCTTCATATTAAGTATATTAAGGATCGACATAAAAAATAAGTATTTTTATAAATACCTGAATCAGGTCAAGCCAGACTTCGTCCTCCGCATGAAATGTCATACTTACTGGATTCCAAGCAAATCCACTCAATCCAGATAACAAGTCATGCACCTCACGCCATTTATCCTTTAACACTTTCTGACGATTTTTCACATTATTTTTTGTAACTGCGACATACCCAGCGCTGTGCAGATGATCAACTATGTTAGTATATGCTTGGGTTGTCCAGCTTCCATCAACCCTATTACCCATTCTTGATTCCTCGATCATGCAGTGTAGTAGACGTGCGTCCATGTCCTCTGTCCATTTCATAAACTCTCTAGTAGGACCAGAGGACGGCATGGCGGGTGCCTTACCCCTATTCATTTTATACCTAAAGAGTCAAGAAATATTTTGTAAGTTAACATAAAACATCCTTAATAATATGTTCTTCTCATACAGATAAAAATAAATTAAAATACAATACAATCAAATACAATAACTACGATGCTTGGTAATCACGCCACATTTGATCAGCTATACAATCCCTAATACTACTTCCAATCCTATGGTCCTCTTCTCTAACTTGAGATGAAGTCCCATCATGTTCTTCCCTTTCATTCAACTCGTTATCAACTTCATCGAGTAAGGAGTCATCGTTATCCACGCCCCGAAGGAAGTTGTGTAATATACAACAAGCTAGTATGATATTAGTCATCGTCTCTAATCCATAGTGCGGTTCAGTGCCACTTCCAATGATAGGGAATCTTTTTTTCAACACACCGAAAGTTCTTTCAATTACGTTTCTCAACGACGAGTGTCGATGATTAAACAACTCCCGTGCATTTTGTGGTCCTCTGCGTGTATATTCTTTTAAGTGATATCTGACGCCTCTATATGGAGTCAAAATTGTGCTTTTCAACATGAAACCTGCATCACCCAGGTAGTATTTTCCTACAATTTTCCACATACAAAGGTAATTAGTTACCACTAAATAACTTCATGGACATCGATTGTTTACACACTCACCTTGGGGGATAACCAACGGATCATCCCGATCAAGAGCATTTTTTAATATTCTTGAATCGGATGCAGTGCCTTCCCATCCAGCCAGAACGTAGGTGAATTTCATGTCGAAATCACACGCCGCAAAGACATTTTGTGTTGGCCAATCTTTTCTTCCACGAAATCTCGGAGCTTCAGAACTTGGAACCCTTACCCTAACATGAGTACCGTCTATGGCCCCCAAACAATCCTAAACATAAAAATATGAACTCATCATATGTCACAGAATTTGTTATCGTCCTTGTTCAAATAAAATTAACAGATGTAATGAAATCAGTACCTTAAAGTACGGATAAAATCGACTGTTGTTCAACACATGTGGATGAACCTCATTTCCTGATGGTTGTATTAGAAATTCTGATTCTAAACTTATGATAGCGTCCAACACATTGTGAAAGTGTTTGCTAACTGTCGACCCTGATCGATGAAAGAAAAATGCCACACTACGATTCTTAACATTATGACCAATTATATGAAGAAATTCAGCAACTTGTTCCTCCACGGTCGACCGAATTGCGTCCTTGACTAACCCAGTTGATCTGACTCTCTCACAAAGATTAATAAATGCCTCTGGACCCATCCTAATAATGTCGCGGCACCGATGAGTATGAACAAGATATGACATTAACTGCTCCCTACGACGGTCTCTATCAGGTAGGTAATTGCTTACACTACTCGAATCAGTGGAGTACATATTCAAGATACTCAATGTGTGTCCAACAATGCATAACATTGTGATTGCCGCTAGTGATGTGGTTATTTGTAAGTGTTGACGTATCATTCCAATAATCTTGAAGTCTACACCAACCACATCATCATCTACATCTTCGCGGTCCAAATATGATAAATCTAAATGTTCTTCCATCTATATGTACTTAAACAAAATTACATACAATTAATTTTATCTAACATTCATATCTTCATTAAACATACTTCATTCATTCATACATTCATATATCATATCTTAATATATAAAAAAAACATTTTAGATAACAAAAAAAAAATATTATACGTTAAATAAACATAATACATTGCAACAATATTAAAATATAAAACCCTATTATATTAACATATATAAGTTTTAAAAAAATATAAGTAAAATAACATGCAATCCTGCAATGAATACTTCAAAGAGTGATAAAGAAATACCTCTTGAAGCCTTAACAATATATAATAGAGATTGATTGAATATAATTTTATTGATCCTCAATTGGTGTTGAAATTTTCTCCACCAGATTCACCACTTCAAATCTGAAAATTTCTCCACCAGATTCACCAC